CCCCAAAACCCCAAAACCCCAAAACCCCAAAACCCCATTCAGTAAAAATGAAATTGAAATTTTACTCAATAATTGTCATTCCTGTGAGACCTTCTCCATCCCAAGTTCTTGGTTTCACAATTGCATGAAACAGATGCCCGTTTCTTTTTACATAAAGAGGTAGTAATGCATTATTAGCATGTTTCACAATCATAGTTTTAATATCTTTAAAAGCCTGACTCTCTCCTTCATAACCTCGGCTTCCTCTACTAGAGGTCTGAGTTTTTGTGAGGCCGTTACACCAGACAATTTCATCGCCACTCTGGAGATCAGCTTCTTCAGCAGGACTTCCGCCTGAAACTTTCTTGATCTTGGCAATCGGGGAAACATTATTTAAGCCACTTTTCATATTGTTCGAATCCAGCTACTCCAAGTCCTGATGGATCATTCTTTGTTGCAAATAGTTTCTTAGTTTCAAGCAAATACCCTCTCTTTATGACTAATTCAGTTGTATTATTGAGCATTTTCCTCAACTCCTGTGCTGCTTTCTGAGCCCCATTAGGCTCATCTGTTGAGATTCCATTGACGACTAAAATTTGATCTCCAGGAAGAATTCCTTCTCTGTCAGCAACAGAGTCAGGAGCCACGGCTAAAAATTATATACAATAATCTTACTAGCAATGAAAAACAAAGGTTCACATTCGTAATATTGGGAGAGTTTATAATCATCAATTTCGGATCTATCTTGTTCGTCATAATAGTCATCTTCATCTTCATCATAATAATCTTCTTTGTTCTCTTCAATAACATCTATAGATGAAAGAGTTTGTTTACCGCTCTTTCGGACATTGTACCCATCATCGTCGAACTTGCTGCTATAGAGAAGATTAAGTTACCATAGAATATTAGAACAGGTTATTCTATAATTTCATCCGGAAGGCTCACAAAAGAGAAACATAAATCAATGAGCTTACTGGTCATCTAAGTATCTATCATATGTATAATGAGCATCTTGCTCAGATTGGCTCAAACCACTAATTTCTTGTTGATAACTCTTTGTATCTTTCTTTTTGAAAGTTCCCTTTCTATTTAAACCTTCAGATGTTTTATAAGGGTTAGACGGCTGTGGGGTATAATGATTACTACTAGGCTCAACGCTCCTGCCTCTCTTAGTAGAGCTCCTATTGATATTAACTTTCCAGGAGTCACGTTCTAAAGTGAGATTATAATATACCTTGGCTCCGATTCCGATTTGAACTTGGAAAGAACTTCCTTTCTTCTCGCTGGAAACATTTGGCCTCTACTTTATGGTAGAAGGGGATGTTTCTAAGTAAGTTATTTTGGTATTTCCTCTGAAAATATTTTGTTTCGTTCTTCATCAAGTAGCTCTTTTCAGGTCTCTGTAAATAAGTCTTACGTTCGCCTTCTATCATTTTATTTTAAATTATTTCAATTTAACGAAGGAAAATAGGGGTTTTGGGGTTTTGGGGTTTTGGGG